TAATCTTTTGGGGCAAAAATATTTTCCCTTTTTCTCCTACATTTTCCTGCGAATGCAGCGGCCCAAGGACGGTCTTAACAAATACTAAACAACATACGAGAATGAATCCACTTAAAATGTTGATATGTTTTAAAGCTGTGAACCTGTAAGTCTACGGAGACTATGTAAAGAGGACCTGAAAATGGCACTGTAATGTCAGAACATGTAGCCTGCTCATAATAAAATCATCAAAAAATTATTTGTGTAGGTGGTAATGGTAATTTTGCATAATAAAATCACCAAAAAAATATTTGTGTAGGTGGTAATGGTAATTTTCAAAGATTCATACCGCTTCCATGTTTGTGATTACTGACTTATCAACAACATTAGATTCCAAATTTCGAATGTCTAGTTACAGTAGTTTAGCAACTATGGCCATTAAATTGGAAGCTAAATTCAGATTTCATGCAGCCTCCATGGTGTTGCTTTACGTTATACAAAAATTTAAAAAAAATTGCTGTAAAAATTAAGCCTCTAGCAGCATAATAGTCGTCTAATGGTTTTTTTTTTGAAAATTCGACAATTGTTCCAGAAGTTGCTGAAAGGGAAGCACAGGAAAATGATACCATACGCATTTCCTTATGAAATACGAAAAGCAGGCACATGACCAGCAACGCGAATTTTATTTGTATAAGCCCAGTTCTTGAGAGAAAATTTCAGTTATTGTGTGACACCAACAGTGTCCTCTGGAACTTCTAGTTCGGTCAGATCACTGAATTGTAGCCCGGAGTCTGACAGCGGAATTGAATTGAATTTTATACTTTCTATAGAATTCGACCGTTGACAGCGACAACTGACTTTTTCAACTTCTTCCAGTTTATAAATGCAAAACAGGGAACGACTGTATAAGAAAAAAGAGATTATTCTGTCGTATGATTAAATTGAAGTACCCTTGCATGATTTACGTTTACGCCAGATGGCACAATGGAGCAAACGCATTTCATTAGAGTAAATATTGATGTCTGTAGTACCGACGCACTTTTTCTCATGCAACTCAATGACCGCCGACAGAGCATCACATTTAATATTTTACAGTGGTTTGCAGTATAAACGGAAACGGGCTGGAAAATACCACAGCTGTGTCAGGTATGAATCCACAATACTACGACTGGACTTACTATATTATCGCCTCTGCTTCAGATACAGGGGTGTCGAATTATCATTGCATGATAAAGACCAACATTATAAGGAACTACTGCGGATTTCACCTAGAGAATCGAGAGCAAACTACGAAAAATCACGGACAAGATAGCCAGTAACGAAGCTGGTATTCGAAACGGGTACCTTCCGATTGCATGTCTGGAGTTACGTGTTCCAAGAGGTTTCAAAAACTAAATTCTCCATGCACTCCTTGTCCCCAAGATTATGTAACACCGACTAAAATGTGACAATGTTCAAAGATTAAGAGGAAAACTGCCGTAGGCTATTTTATGATTTAATCATTTGCCTGGAAGGGCTGAGTAAACCCACGAACACATCGGTCAGTATAAACGTTCCAAGACGGGTCCGGGGACCGGGGCAAAGCAGTCGATGCGGGGGCCCCTCCTTAAGATTTATAGGTGCACAAGAAATTAATAATAAAAAAAACACACGCAAGTTTAATATAACTGGTGTCAAACTGTACATTTATTAAAAAACATTTTTTTTTGTTCTGGGACCACAATTAAATTAATTGGCTATACTCCAAGCCTCATACATAGCACTGTGATTTCGTTTGGGGTTTGGCGGGAAGATGGAAGCACTTCCTTGGAATTCGCTTCGCAATCCTTCCGGAGTGCGAAAACGACCAAACACTGAGTGCGATGGAACACAGTATATAATGACATTTACATTTGCTAAAAATTAACTCAATGACTTACAGAATAAAATTCTTTGTTCCCTGTGATATACGGCTACCGTTATAAGGATGTGTTTCGTAATGTAATTTGTGTGTTCCTCTTTGGAAGGACAGAGTTGCACAACCGGGGGGAGATGAACCACGCAAGATAATGCGGACGAGAGGTATCATGGCAGCACGGCGATTAAGGTGCTGAGAGTGGGGACAGACAGGAACCAGCACATAGAGAAAGGCTTAGCGTAGCGAAGGCACTCACCCAGCTTCAAAGTACTGCCCTGTGAACAGCGAGACGACCTGAAGCGGAAGGGGGGACAATTCATGGTATTTTTATGGAAAAAGGTTAAATTCCTCACAACGGAGAGCAAACTTCTACATTGAACAGAGTCATCATCAACTTCTAATCCCAGAAATACGTCATCCGAACACAGATCGATTGGCCATGACGTATTATCCTATAACCACGATGAGAATTAATAATAAGAACAGAACAAATGTGTTTGTATAGCAAAATAGTAATGTAATACGCCAAGTTGTATTCTTGTGAACAAAACAGACTTGATGACTACGTAAATTCAAGGGATGAGAACAGAAGATGCGTTATTATATCCTTAATTTTTATGCCATGAAGTTTCAGGAGTTAAAACGAGAAGCTGCGAATAGGAAAAACTGGCGAACTCTTTTTGGGCAGAACAATGGACCTGTCGTCAGACAGAACACTAAATAATAAATAATAATAATATGTTCGTGTCTCTTTACTCGCTTTATATTCTCTGTGACATGATCATTAAATTGCTTTACATCGTAATGAAAGGTGGCACTGTCAATTACCATATAACATACTTCACAACGATCATACATGTTATAAAATATACCTTATATTATATGTTCTACTGAGATTAAGTCGGGGTTCGATCCCCGACAGTGGCAGAGGATTTTTCCTCTAGCCTCTGCGTCCAGACCGGCTCTGGGG